AATTTACTACAAAATATGAAGAATGATAGGAAGGACCTGCTTATCCAAATTAGAATGATTGTCAGATGCGTGGCTCATTCTTGAGGGCTCGGACAACGCTGATCAAGCCTTTACACAGATTTGGCTCGAATAGTGAACCCATCTATACGGAGCTCTAGTATTTCTCGCCATCCAGCCGGCTGGAACCCTTCCAGGCTATGGTTGAGTGAACCACCTTTCATAGATTTACTTGGTTATTTTGACCACGGCTGACGGTACATTTGAGATTTAGCCCGTTTCCAGGCACTATTCGGGCTAGGCAACGGCCGAAGTCCGTCGGCACGTGGCACATGACAGCCAGGCGCGTGCAAGATTGCAAGTAGCGCTTAGTTGTAGCTTGACATTCCCGTGTCACGTCTGAATCGCTGATCGCCCAACTGATATGTCTGTGTTGTTGCTTTTTTCTATCTATACATAACTCGAAGGCCGATGAGACTTTTGCCTCGTCGTATCGATCCAGATTCGAGTGCTGTAATGCGATAATCACTACGCTGCGAATGGGCGCTACACTTTACGGAACGCTCTTGCCGCTTTCACCTCTCTCTCTCCTTTCACCTCGACCACCACACATTAATCCTATCAATCTCAAATCGCACACCGAATCGGTGGTTTTTGGCCGATTGGAAACACCAGCTAAGGCCATTCATCGCGCAGAGCAACGCCAAAATCGGAGAAAAAGCCGATAGATAGAGCTAATAAATTCGTTTGATTGGTGCCGCGTACGTCGCGAAATGTATGTAATGCAATAGGTAGCAACTTCCTTGTAAGTCCAGACTGCTAACCGCATGCATATACTAGGGCAATTGGCCCCAGAGACATATTCTACCCTTTAGGGCCAGGTGTGCAGAGAATTGTGCAGAGCTAGTGGTGGGCGGGGCCGCCTGGAGGGGGCGTTCCTGAGTCTCGCTATGGCCTTTTTCGTCAGAAGGATCTTCATGACCAGGGCGGAAGCATGCGGCCCCTGGTTCCAGTGTACTCAAAGTGGAACTCGCTATGAAAATCTTGAATCGTACACTACAAAACAACGTTCCAGTGGAAGCTGCTTACACTTTCGCCTTGTTCTGTCGATTTAAAGCCTTGCATTTGGAAAATTGATATATTTTTGCACCTTTGACAAATCCATGTATGGCGATAGGTCGAAAGAGAGCTGTAGGCAATCAATAAATCCGAACACTAACTCGACTTGAGCCTTTACCTCAAAGAGGTTCAATAGCTGGGAACCTGGCACGCTATGGGCGTGGTCTGTGAGCACTTTGTGCTGCCCGCCGCTCTATTCGACAACCCACGCACCAACAGGACAGCGTGGATCAGGGTCAATCATCACCTCAGTCCTAGAGGGGTATGAGGATACCACCCGCTCCAATGAGTCGGTGATAGTGCTGTTGAAGGTGCTACCACTTGACGCACTCCAGCTCCGCCCCCGAAATTCCCATTGAAATAGGCGTCGAGCCGAGGTGGGAATGAGGTGTACACAGTTTCTCAAACAGCAGTTTCAACACATTTCTGTCCGTTTCAGGAAATTTCCTCCTTCAACACCCCCTCCCCCTCCCATAAACTCCCAAATACGATCCCTGTTAGAAAAATCCAAACGGGTCGACTTTGATGTGGATCTTCTGGCGGACCGCGCCCATATTCTCAATGTGTCCATTCCACTTGGATTGACGGCAAGGTGTAGAAGAAAATTGTACTGGTGCAGTGTTGGTTTTAGGGTCGCATTGAAATGTTCAAACACATTCCGTTGAAGGCAATTACTGGAACGCTTTCCTTTCCGAGATTGTGTAAAAAAAAGTCACTATTCCACAGGTGTTTAATTGGAAAACCAGTTTCAACGTGCTAAATTTCACCTGTGCACTACCAACATTTGTTGCGAATATCGTCTCGTAGAAGAGAAAAAACGAGGCACCGATTTTTTCTCGATTATTTCGCTTACCGCTACCAGTTACTGTGAGCAACCCCTCATGTGGCTATTTTCTGGCAAGCAGATTTCTGACTCTAGTTCACAACCCGCGTTGCGACCGCTCGCTTGATTGTCATGTGCTATGCGCGCTATTTTAAGATTTTTTTGGGAAAAGGTCGTGTTTTCAACACTTTTGACTGTTACGAATACTGGCAGATTCCAGCTCAAACACCGATAGGCTTAGTCGGCAATGGTAAGGTTAGGGAAAGTTTTTTCCTGAACCTGGTGGAGGGGATGGAGCTCTAGACGAAAAACCCAGAAATGTGAAGACCACTTCCTGCACAGAGGGATTTGTTAAACACCCGGAACTTTTCTACCTTTAGGTCTAGAGAAAATTCTATTCTCTGCTTGGAGGCGGAGCGAACCACCTTTTTGCTGTACCGCTTTCTAGCAGTTACATCTGCTACTGTACGTAATAACTTATCTTTCACTTAACATAACTATCACTTATTTTACCGTAACAATAACGTTGTTTTTGCGCCGCCATCCAACAGCACAGAAAGACGAGGCAGAAAAAGTCCGTAGAACAGCTGGACAAAACGAAGAACACGCAACCAGACAATGTTCAAACACAACCCAAAACAACAAACAAAAAAAAAACCAACACACCCACCCACCAAAACAAAACACAAAACACAAAACGCAAACCAAATACTTTAAATGATCAACGAGCGACAATCCGTACAGCACCCACACACGACCACCCCCCAACACCGCAGTAGCTTCCACCTGACCTACTGCAACACCAAATGCCATCCCCTTACTACACATACCCGACTCTGCTTCTGCCTGTCCTTCATTCCGCAACGTCTACCGGCGTCCTTCTACCTTATAAACTGCTGTCATCAGCTTTATTACTACTTTGTTTCTTCTGGTTTTTCATGAAATGTATGTATTCTTGTGTTTTATAACATAAATGTCTACGAAAAGTAATATTTATCTGGTGAGCTGCTAGGATTAAGCCTAGGAAGGTTAGTCCCCGGAGAAAACGAACTTGCTCTCGAATTCGAGTATTAATCTTCCCTCCCTGTAGGCTTAGTTCCTCACAGTAAGGGTCCACAGTCCCTCTCGTTGTTAAATCGTTTTCAAGATTTTACGAGCGCGCCACCGCCCCCCCCCGAGGTGGAACACTTTGGACGACCCCCTTTCTCGAACCCGACCACGCACATTTCTCCTTAAGTATTTAATTTGGCACCACTAACCACAACTCCGCCACTTTTATTCCTTCCGAAAATGCCCGAGGCCGGGATGGATATATACGCGCAGCTGAAACGCGGCAAAATTTTCTCCCCCATGCTCACCAATTCATTAGCCTACTACCATACTCACGAAAACTCCACTTTCAAACCGAGAGCAAAACTCACATGGTATTTAACGGCGCCCTCCCACCCGCCTGAAGGAATACGACCTGCCTCCCCATATAACCCAACTCAACCAGGTACTACCCCCCGTTAGTTACTAAGTCACACAACAAGGACTTCGACCATGGTCTACAGCCTTCTACAACTACGGAGAATTTGTACCTTCCGTGCAGAACTGCTTTCACACCGCACTCATTCGCATTTGCACTACCGGGCTTTATGTTTGGACGGTCCCTGACCCCAGTGGCTGCTGATGTCTGTCTGTGTCTCTGGCTTTGAGAAATCTCGTAGGCCGGCCAGTGTTGTCAGCAGTGAAATATGAGGATTACAACTCTATTGGCACACACTGACAACGGTGCAGTCGTCTCCTGTGTTTAGAACGCCCCTACGCCCACCCTCCTATTCAGTTTTTCTGATTCTTCTTCTGAAATAGAGTCAAAACACCCACGGCTCTCAATCTCTTCACCAGCTTTTGGGAACCAACTGTGGCCAAATTGCGCTAACTCATATTTAGAATGCGGTCTAGGCACGCCCATCGAAACTCAATCAGACCTTTTTTTTTTATGCTTTTCACCGACCCGAAAGACGAATGACGTACAACTTATTACATGCAGAAACGGGTGTGGTTCGCTAGGACAGAAAGCGACTTTTTCGCTTTTTACAGCGCGAAACTTTTCGCTGCAAAAACCCCAGGTCCACTAATGATCAAAGGTGGACCTGGGGTTCCTATTGCGAAGAAAGTCTCGCGTACGGAAAGCGAAAAAGTCACTTTTGTCCTAGCGAACCGCACACCCAAAATCATACCGAACGTGCGTAATTTTTTGAATGTATGGGGCCTAGTTATTTCGAATTTAAATTCGAACTATTCAGTTTGCTTAAAAGGAAATCAAACGGCGGACAAAAAAAGTCATCACGCTATGATTGCGTAGAATGTTACGAATTTTTGGGGGATTCGCATCAGAAAAGGTCATATTTTGGTGCAAAGTTAATATAGAGGTGCACTTTATTTTACGCCTCACAAAAACACCACGTGCAATTACGACTCCGTTACGTCAAGGGAAATCGATAAGGGCTATTGAATGGGTACTTTGACGCTGCTGACGATATTGGAATCGCTAAGCACCTCTTTTTTTAACAATTGCTCCTTTACGCTATTTGTGGTGGGATGATAAGGATGTGATTGAGCCCAGGAAGAGGTATGCTTCGGGGGATGCTCTAGGGACAATAGAAGAGACACGTATCCTCGCGTCTTTGATGAACGGTGTGTAAAATGAATCTGCGTTTTTAACGCGGGCAGTTGTGAGCCAGCATTCGTAAGGCGGTGAAGCGGATGGGCGCATCACAACATATTTACCCTCATCATTAAAAAACCGAGACAAAGCCTCCCGGAGTGCAGACCATCACACACAGCAACTGACCTACAGGCGCTTCGAGTAAATTTGATTAGAAGGTGGTTCATGATTGCTGTTTGTAAAATGATAGTTGTAAATAGTGACAACTCGTGGAATACAACTGCAACAGGCCATTCACTTCATTGGCAGAAAACATTAACATTTTGTGGAGGTCGTCGTCACTTGTGGTGTACGGTCTGCATCTCTACGCTCTTCTCGTTTTTTGAAAAGGGAGTACAATCTTTGCGCTGTAATTTGTAGAAGGGTGTCGACTGTTCGTACCTTTTACTTTTTTCAATGAGAGCGCTTTGATGCCGTGAAAACTCGTCCGCGGGAATGCCCTGTGTGTAAAAGTGGTAGTTTCCAAATAGACAGCTGTCTTCGCGTCCCTAATATAGGGATTTCTTGTGGAAAAATGGGATTTCTGTATGGCAGCACTTTTACACGCTAAGCCCTGGATCCACGACCGCCTGAAGCTTTTTCACGCTGGCAAAAATATGGAGTTAGCTCGTAACCAGCCACAAGCTTAATTGCTCCGAAAATGACCTCTCCAATTACGTGGACGACCGAACCCGAGTTCTGTATTTGACGATGTAAGGGTGGGAGGAGTTTATAAAGCAGTAGGTTTCATAAGAAGAAGTCTTAGCAGTAGAGAGCAAGACGCGAGCTCACGACGCTTTCTTGTATGAACCATTTGGTCCTGACGCGAAAACATGCACGCCCAACCAATTTTTGCTACATATACTACGAGAAATTTGCTTTCCCTCGTCAGCAGTGCATGATTGTAAAGCAGGCATGCATGAATCCCTTTGTTTCATTTTTATAGCTTAATTCAATTCTTGGAAAGAGGTCATTTGGGAATGCGGGTTTCCAGCCAAACGCATCGAACGACTTTGTTTATTAGAAGGATTGGTTTTTGCCGCCACGTTTAGTCAACGTTCATTTGTCGTGGTTCGAGTTTTTTGTTAAACATCACCTCTGAGAGGTCTTATTCATGCTCGATACCAACACTTAAAGAAGCAGTCACGCGGCGAGGCTTGAACTTCCGACGCCTGGTCAATTGCTACCCCTGCGTTATCAAACACCATAAGGTGTAAAGCAGTACTTGTTGGACGAGTGTAAGCTCATGGAAGATATGATAAAGGTGCCTTTAAAGCCTCTATATGATGATTTGTTTGGGGAAGGGGTTTCGAAAAAAATTTCACATTATTACACCCCATGGTGCCGTAAAAACTTTAGGAACTTCATCTATCGTGGTCATTAGGTGCGCAGATAGTAAATAAGTATTTGTTTGAAGGGCTGCGCAGTTCTGGGAATCCGTTTGACAACACAATTTTTGCTGCCCATCTGTCTTAATAATCTTTCGAATTGAGATCTCTCTCATTGCGCATGAAAACGAGAAAATTTATTTTCCCGCACATGAGTCATCCCACGCGCCTATTTTGTTGCCCAACCAGGTACCCAAATATTTTGGTTTTTAACGAGTTTGGTGGAAAATGGCTGGTGGCGACATACTGGTACCAGATGGCGCCAGCGCCAAAAAACTACTGTCGTACTCGTAATTATGGCACGGAGGTAATCCTTACAGAAGACGTCTAATCAAAAATCAGTATTTACGTGTTGTAATAGTGGGTGGCATTGTGCCATTTCTTTTTTACGCTTAGATTTTTTCCTTCGCACTACCTTCGACGGCACGTAGCATACAGTGTAATTTCGACTGCGCCAAGCGCTTCCCAAGATTTGCGTCTCTTCCTAAGGCGTCAGTACTCAGAAGTTTAGCCTAAATGTGCCTTTGAACACAATCAAAAGTTTCATCGGAAAAGACGTTCCGCATTGTCGATGCAAGCCTGATTAGCAGCTGTAGCAACTCAGCTCGTTGTAAGATTCTCATGCCGAACTTTGCAAAAGGGCAGTCTTGCTGCTTGCACCTTCAGTCCCGAGGTCATCTCTTGCAGGATGGAAAAGCTGTCCTATGTCACCTCGCAACTTGATAGGGTGACAAACATCTTTTTTCAGTATGATATGTGTCTAAGAGTTCATCATAATATCACGCTTTTCACGGAATTTATGTTTCTTATTCCTTTTATAGGATAGGGCGTGGTTCACTAGGACAGCGAGCGACTTTTCGCGTTTCGCAGCGTGAAACATTTTTCGTTGCAGGAACCTCAGATCCATTGCTGATCATGAGAGGACCTGGAGTTCCTGTAGCGAAAAATGTTTCGCGCTGCGAAACGCGGAAAGTCGTTCGCTGTCCTAGTGAACCACGCCCTGTAGAATATGTTCACTCAACGCTTTTTCTCATCTTACTTGTTGAAGTAGTCGGGAAATAATTCTAATAATTTCCTCTCCGACTAAAGGCACACGTGCAATGCCGAAGTCAAACTGCTTCTTTATTCTTCCCTTTCAATATTTCAAATTCATTGTTTATACCCAGTCTAATTATTCTCCATCTGGCAAAGGGCTATCGAGCCAGCTGGTGTACTCCCAAACTTTTTGAAATCGATTGATGATGTTCCGTGGAACTGAGCACGGAGTGCCCGGAAAGTGCTGTAAGCCATTACGCTATTTTCTTTAACACATCCACACCGGTGGTAGCTCATATGTGCTTCCAGCTAGTAGACCGCCTACCAACCAACCGTTTGTCGTAATTTTTGCATATTTTTGATATCAGAATAATTACGTCTCATAGTATACCTGAATACTTTGTGGTTCACATGCTTGTTAATATAACAAAAATCGATGGAATGGCTGAGGCAGGCACAAAAAATCCGAGCGCGCGTACCCACCCAGAGACACGAAAAGCGCCGCCCGTGCAGGCGTGGTCACTAGACAGAAAAAGCGACTTTTCCGCGTTTCCGCCAACGCGCGAAAACATCCTTGTCGGCGCCTGCCCAGGAAACCTCGCGGTCACTCATGATCAGCGGTGGACCTTAAGTTCCTGCAGCGAAAAATGTTCCGTGCTGCGAAACGCGAAAAAGTCGCTTTCTGTCCTAGTGAACCACCGCCCCGTCCTGCATGTGTCAAAATTTTCAATGGTAATGAATTTTGTTGATATCAAACGTTTTTGGCTAAGCATCTGGATTTCGACTGTATATTTTAAGGAAGGGAAAATTCCAATTCCTGTGCTGTATAGCGCGACCCTCTTCCTTCTGGAAAGCTGTCACAGACGCGAATAGCTTGAGGACGTTGCCGAGTATCAATCATTCTCTCTGAGCCGAGCAAACGGGTGCTGGTTTATATCGCGGAAAATCCTGCTATTTAAATTTGTGCCAGTCCTTTGTATAAGAAGGCTAGCCTAATTTTTTAAAAATCTGTTGGTTACCTGATTTTTCTCCCTTCAGGATACTTCCAATCTTTTACTTCCATGCAGTTTGTTGTGGAGTATTTAAGTATGTAAGAAAGCGTTTTGGTCTCCTTAAAGTCATGAAAAATTCAGTAAGCTTTTCGTTTCTACTTTTGCAGTCTCTGACTGAAGCACATTGTCGCCGCTAGCAGTGCCCAGTCCTCTTCAGTTGCTCTGCCCTTTTCCTCTTTGCTTGTGCTCTCGTCTTGGACGCGTCTTTTGCCGGATCGATGCGCCCTTTTTCGAGGGTCGGAAAGGAGTGAGATGGAGGGAGTTTCGCATGGCATCGACTGGTGTCGCCGAGCCAATTTCGCCCATACTCTCACCAATCCACGACTCTTGCTAGTTCGTTGTCATTGTCCTTCAGCCGGAGTTTTGCACTTTTCTTGGACGATTTTTTGAGATTTTTTTTGCAACAAATGCTAGCGTAAATTTTTTTGCTCGTGTTGGAGCCAGAATAATACCGTAGTATTATTCAGGGTAGGGTCTAATGCCTGATATTATTTATGCTAAAAACGCTCACCACCAGAAGTGCATTCAAATTTTGCCATTACAGAAACAAACGACACAATGTGCCTCCGGGGGCTGTTTTTTGGAAGGCCAGTAGGACTGAGGCCAACGCGGAGGACGAACTTCGGAAATAATGAGAATTGCTTACGCTTATGCACCTCGGATTCACTCTCCTCCACTAAGACTTAGTTCTAAAACTGAACGTTCCCGTGAATCTGACGCAGTGTTACGGGCTGGCCTCCTCAGAGTCATATTGCGCCAAAAAGCTATAATCGTGCATTTGTAAATTTCACTAAAACTTGGCACATGTCTGTTTGCTATGCATCTTCACAGGATATTTGGTTCTGAGCAGACATTTCTGAATATTATTTTTCTACTGCATGTGGATTCCTGCAGAATCATTTTTAAACCTTTTTGTCCGTATTACGCGCCACTATAGATTCAGCCGATGTGGATTTCGGGCGACTAAAGGGTCGTTCAACATTCCGATTCCCATGTGTAAACGGGGCTCGTCGAATATTACTGTGTGTACGATTTCTTTATAGCATATGGGAACCACGAGCCAGCGTATCGCTGTGAATTTTGGTGCATATGGCAAGTTTTCGTTAGGCTTCCTTTTTGGTTTGGACCCTTTATATCCAGAAGTGGATCCTTGCTGTCAATAATCAGCATGGCCACTTAGTCTTGTAGTTCCGACCCCGTCAAGGCCGAAACCGAAGGGGAATTTATTGTGGTATTTGCCGGCTCTCTTTATTTAGGCTGCGGTCATAGTTTGCGATTTTGCGATTTTGGGATATTGCGTTTTTTCAGCGGAGTATGCGTATTGATCCCCAAGCGATCGCTGATCGCATGGTCGGTACGTGTTTCATTCTCAATCTAATTGAAAGGTATGCAAAGCGATCGCAAACCTGTTAGTAACGAGTTCAAAGTTTTTCATAGGTGGTTATGGCCTTATCAATCTAGGAACATTATACTTAGCTTTTCCTTCCAATATCATGGTGTTTTATTCGTGCATTAGTACCTTGAACTACTACCATTTTTGAGGACAGTTGATGCCATACTAGTGAATCCTCCACTATTTTGCATTTTATTTCCTGTGGAATGATTATTGGTTGAAAGGACGTTGGAGCATTGCCAACCATCATGCAGCTCAGAAAACTAATTTTGACGGGATTCTGTTGTGTAAATAATTCACATTGGGAGATCCGATATTTCTATACGTAAAACGCGTCCCATTTCAGTGTTTACTTTGAAGCAGATTCAGTTGATTTCCATTCTCCCTCAACGTCTCCTGTTACCTCTTGCGGAGGTGCTCGCTCCTCCTCATCGCATCAATCTCATGCCCTTCCGTGTTTTTCTTGTGCTGGAATGCCAGGAATTCCAGTTTCTGTCGTTTCATTCATTTCGATCGATTTCACCATCACTCGAGCAGCCATAATTTCTCGTTTCATATTCAATGATCAATGGCTAGAGCAGATTGAGGAGAGTTTTTGGGTTTTCGTATCCTTTTCGGTTCTTTATCTGATTTCATTGTGGACATTTGGCCTGATAAACACTATCTTAACCTTCATCACTTATGTGGCTTTGCTTTACCAACTTTTCGTTTTGTGGTGATGGCAAAGGTAAAGCGTTGCCTCATTTGTCACTGCTGCTCTAGCCCTTTCTCGACTATAAATAATTTACTATGACATGTTTGTTGAATATGCACGCAAACGGCCGAAAGAGCTCTCCTGCCGCAGGGAATATGCTGCGCGAGGTGTGTCCAATACCATCTGGCTGGCTCCAACATGTTTTTTGCCATCCTAAGGCTTCTGTTCGAATGAACTCTTCTTTTTTTCTTCTCAGTACCTTTTCTGCGAAAAATTGAATTTGTAGTTACACGTTTTTTTTTACTCAGGCACATGCAATGGGAATCATTTTCTTTGTTATGCTGCTTTCATACAGCTCCATCTGTTTGACATTCATTCAGAAGGGCGAAATGTTCAACCCCTGTTCCTGATGTGGTTGCGGAATTTGACTCTATTTCATATTTTCTGCTCGCTATTTTTATTTCTGCTTCATGCTCACAGCAATTCCTCTTAATCATAAGTTCTTTCTTTAGGCGGCTGCAGCGATGACGTACGGCGTCGGCGTCGCGCAAAACAACACAGATCTCGGTGGTGGTGGCGGAATGAACGACGAGGAATACGACGAGAACTCGTCCGCACGACTATTCGAACGCAGCCGCATCAAAGCACTTGCAGGTTGGTATCGCTTCCAAAATTTCCTTCTCACAATCAATTTTTTCCTCCAACTTTTTTGATATACTTCTTATATTTCGCTTCACTTTAACATGGTGCTGAGAGAATTTCTTCTCAAGTGAAATAGTCACACTTCCTATGGAGACGGTGCCCCCAAAAAGTGAGCACTAGAAAATTAGTGTCGTGCGGTGAGGAAAAAGAGTTCCACAATTAGCCTTTTTGGGTTTTCTTTTGCCGATCTCCACGGGCGAATGGCAAATCTGGCTATGATTGTTGCCTCAAGGGTTATGTTTAATTCCAAGCGGTCCGATTGTCCTGCTTGGAACTCGCTTGCATGGTGTCACTTTCGGTCGGTGTGACGCTTTGTGTCATTTCGCATTGGTGTCGCGTCTGATGTTGTTGATGGTGCATATGATGATCGCCATCCACGCGAGGCACTCATGCAAGGAATTGAGGAAACGTGGTCGGACTTAACAACGCCGTTTGAATGGATGTTTAGAACGCTGTTCAGCGATTCTAGAGGAGAGAATGAGGAGGACGGGGTGGGGGTGCTGGAGACAGCTCAGCTGGACTTTCTGGCACGTGCATGAGGATCAGAGGCGGATGGTTCTCAGTTGGAGTGGTCAAGTATTGTGTCGATATGGCCATCATTGCCCATCATAGCCAAACAGGGGTTGGTCTAGAGCATCTTTTATTTTCTTCGTGCTCTTGATATTATGATTTAAGTGTGCGGCTTGTGGTGATGGTATTGAAACCGTGTTTGCGTAGCGTTTGTACATCAACCACGTTACTTTTTTT